AATTGATACAATGCATAGAGCTAGAGTGAATTAGAAAGGAAAAAATAAAATAACACTGGAAAACAAACTGTGTATGTACATAGATATCATGATATAAATACACTCTGGTGTAAATATATGCAGGGGCCATCTCAAAGGTGGACCTTTTGAAATGTCTCCAACAAATAATGCAGTCTCAGGTTCTCTGCTTCATGACACTTAAATAATCTTTAAAAAAAATCATTAACAACAGCAATAAACAACAACAAAAAACAATAAACAATTTCAACCAATAAAACAATTACCTGAGGGGATGGGACAGGACTTTTTTGAAACCACAAACTGCAATATCCAGAACTCTACTTACTAGACTAATCCCAAAAAACATTTTTTTTCTTGTTAATAAAACAACATGTTTACATGCTACATGTTAAAACAAGAAGGATCTCAGTTTCTAAACACAACATGGTGCTTTTCTACAAATTTCAGGTAAGATCTTCAAAAGTAATTGCTGCTTTTCAGATGCAAAGTGGTATAAATTGGACCATAAGACATCCCTAACCCTGTACATAGTCTAGAGTCCTATACTGCTGTCATAAAAATCCTGTTCATGTTAAAGTAACCAGTGTTTTCTCTGAATGGTCTTGATAGCTATTCAGAAACACTGAATTTGCTGTATGAGTCTGCTGCATAACTTAGAAGAAGCTTCTATTGTCACGGCTTTTATGTAGCTTTCTGGACCTGGTACTCAGTTCTAAATTTCTTAGTTTGGATTGTTCCACTTAGGATGATACTTTTTTAAGGATGATGATTTTTTTAAGAAACTACAAGCTAAGTAATTGTTATTTTTTTTGTATCGCCCTAAGTTGGTTAAGTTTCTACTTAGCTGAAATTTAGCACATTTATCAAATGAGTTTTATAATATTCTAATTTTATGGTGCTATTTTGGTAGCATATCCATTTTATATCGAAGTCAGATTGCATTACATTTATCTTCCATAATACTTGTTTAGTTCTGTTTATAGCACTTTGTGATTTCTACAAGTACAATATGCCCATTGGCTCCTAAGAATGAAGAGGTATAAAGTTTTCAAAATGGAAATGATTTTGCTTTCTGGCACTTATGTATAACCTACTGCAGCTGTCTTCACACGTGCAGTACAGTTTGTCATCCTGTGACCTGATCTGATGAGAAACAAGTTTGCTATTATGTTTAGCAGTTTTCCAGATGGACAGAATTAAACTAAAATAGGAGAATGCTAGGACTGAGACATACCAATTGCTGTCATAAAGTAAGACTGAAAATAAGTGAAAGGCTGATAATCTGAAGAGGTAAAAAGATGGTGATTTGAAGAGCATCCTGACCATAATCACATACAATTACAACAGTAGATCTGAACATAAACTAAATCCTGGATATTTTTTTTAACAGTATCAGAGAATGTAATCAAAAAATACGACTGATGCTCTTCTGAGAAGATTTTGCTTTTTTTTTTTTGTGTGTGTGTGTGTGTGTGTGTGTGAAGCCAGTTCTGTAAGAGCTGAGAGCTGAAATTTAGACTAAAAACTTTTTTTTTCTTTGATTACTTTAATTTAAAAAAAGAAAATAGTTTGAAGACAAAGCACTTCATTTACAGAGCATGCTGTGTCCCCTACAGTCTAACAGTACTTTTTCAGAACCAGCTGTTAATTGACTTCGCTTTTTATCACGTATTTGCAGTTTTGGAAAAGTCTCTGTTATGAACATGCTTACTATATGGGAGAGCAGATATCTTATCCTTTTTTCTTTTTTTTTTTTTTTTTTTTCTCAAAATAGTATAAAGAAAAACATTTATAAAAGTAAAGAGAATAAGATTATAGTATGTAGTACTGTTTTTAATATGTAGTACATAATTTATTAAACTCAATAAAATACCCTCAAAAGCCTAAAATGTAGTGAGACGGTTTATGAACACATGCATAGAATATATGATTAAATGATTTGGAATGGTAACTAATATTTTCATGTCATCCATGTTCTCATTGGTCTGGAATTCTTGATAAAATATACAGTTCTAAAATCTTTTTGCAGAAAGGTAAGAAACTACAGTGTCCAGGGATGTTGATATAGTAAATGCTAAGAAATGGTAACTGTTACTTAGCAGAATTTTAAATGTTTGATCTCTTAATTGATTCTGGTTGGCACTTGAACTCAGGTATACTTAGATGTAAATTTGTTATTCTCTTAGGCTCTATAAATACTATAAGGGATGCTATGAGGTGAGAAATATTTTGCATACATTATCATAATTAGCATTATAATAACCAGCATTATAGGCAAGATTATTTTTCTAAACATAGGAATACATGGACAAAGAATCTTGTATAAAGTCTGAATGATATAGCCCTACAGTACTCATTTTTTATATATATTTTATATATATTTATATATATATATATATTTTAATACCCTACTGTATTGGGGGAGATATTTCTTTTGACTCCATAACTACAGCATAGACTGATAATGCAGTGGTTGCACTCTCTGCTAACGACAGATGATCCTTTCCAACTCCATTCCTCTGTAATGTCTGCTTTTGTGACAGTTCTTTAGAAGGGTACTCTGGTTCTTAGGTAGTTTAATTTTTACTATAAATTCCTATTGGAGTGTGTCTTTTATTCCTCATTCACTTTGAGAAGCTTTCTTCAACAAATGTGTTGGCCTTTCCTTGACTGCCTTGTAATATATACTACAATTTCACAATGGATAATGAAATATTACCAGAGAGTAAAGGTAATCTGTTTCCAAATTCACACAATTTGATATGCATTGCTGCTTGCCCTCTAGACTAATAAATAATGCAGCATTCTACCAGCTTTTCATGCCCCCAAATGTTGCAAATATATGTTATTTTGTTGATATCCTCCATACAATCCTTCATTGAAATATTTTATGGTCCTTACACAGAATGTGATTGTGGAGACTTCTCTTCTTTTCTAGCTCTCAAAAGTTGCTTTCTGGAAGAACCGTATTCATTGTCTTGGCAACAGATAGTTGGTTCCATTGCGTTTTGTTCTTCTGTTACTAATACATTCAGACAGATATATGGGATACTGAAATTACCCAAGCCTTTCTGCAATCTGCTCTCTTTTTTTCTCTTTTATTCCTGGATGATACTGTGTTTCTTGTATTCCTGTTGTCAGTTGGTATTATAGTAGGAATGTCTTCAAAATATAATAGATACATAGAAGCACCAAGCAGCATTTTTCTTCTCTTTTGTCTTACATTTTGAGAACGAATGATGCCTACAAAAATACCGTGCAGCCAAATAGGATTACAAAATCCTGATTCTACACTCTGTTCAACAAGAAAGAGCTCTTAGCTTCTTGCAAATCCTGTGTGGTGTGGATTGTTTATTAGTACTTATTTTACTAAACAGTGACATAAAAATCTGGGAATTGCTAGTGCTTGCCTTTTACTAGCCAGTTCTGGGTAACTTGCATACATATTCAAATTGATGTGACTGTACAGCAAATAGCAAGGAATTCTTTTCTGAGATGCTTGGGTGGCAGACGAAATATCCATTTTGTTGACAGTGATTCTGCAGTTAAGATGTTTGTGGTCAGGAATCTGAGTACAAAGCAGGGTTAAGTGGTGTTTTTTAGATCAATATATATTTGCCCTTCAGTTGTCAAGAAGCAATATATGTTAGAATTTCCCAACCTCACTTGACACAGGGATCACCAGCCAGACATGCCATGCCACATATATATAAAAATATATATACCTGTATATATTTTTACCCATTAAGCCTCCTCTTTATTGAGAACTGATAATGAGACAACTCTTTTGTTACCATTTTTATGTTTATTGTGTGCTCTTGACAATGTTATGCATTTAAACTGGAGTATTCTTAAACTAAGGACAGAACTGTGGTGTGTGTGTGTATATATATATATTTATGTATATATACACACATATATGTTTATATATATATATACATGCACATGTTAATTCCCAGTTTTCTTTGGTTTATGGCTTGCTTTTGTTTTGTTTTTCTTTGACAAAAATAATAGAAACCAGCAAATTTCATAAATGTTTTAAATAAGTCTTTGAACTAGAAAGATATAAGGATGCAGTTCTCCATTTATAGTTGTAAGACCAATTATTATGATATATATATATTTTTTGGACTGGTTAGTTTGTTGGGTTTTTAGTCTTCAACACTTCAGAAATTTAATTTGGGTTTCTCCTCTTGGGTGTTTACTAGAACAACACACAAAAATGTGATTGACATTTCTTCTCCAAAGGTGTTTAGATTTGCATGAATTCTCAAAATTGCCTGGAGATTTTTTGCAAACTGCAAAAACTGCAGACTGCAATGGAATTGTTTGCAGACTGCCTCATGGATCTGGATTTGGCTACAGTTTAGCTACTAGGTCCATTTTCATGCACATCAAATTGAGGTGTTGTCAGTGGTTATATTACTAAGTGGAAAGTGTTTTTTTTTTTTTTTCTTTGCTCATCTAATATCAGAATTGTTGTTGTTTTAAATGATGTGGAGGAAAAAAAGAGGTATGCATGAGAAGGGTGCTTTATTTTTCCTGTGCATGTCTTTTTTAATTTCTTTTTTGCCCTCTCCAAGATCATAAGCTCCACAATAATGCTTCAAAAATGATACTTCTCTAATGTTCTTTTGTATGAGAAAAATTATGACATTTTGTAGATATTCCTTAACTGAAAGGGAATGACCTGATGGGATCTTCAATAAAAAGGGCTTTGAATAATCAGAAAATAATGAAATGGACTTCTGTGCAGGGAACTATTCACATTTTTGTGTAATGTCTGTGGATACATTAATTTGTTTATGTTACAACTTTAGAATGTGTTATTGAAAATACAACAGATGACAAAGGAGAATTGAGTTTCATTACTTGAATGTAATCATCTCACACTATGTGAATCATCTCAGCCTTTTCTTGTCAAGACCAAGTAAAAGCATTAAACCTATTATAACATCTCTTTTAATATTTTTTTGTAGGATGGAATTAAAGATGAATGTTCGGTGCTGAAGTTGCAGCTGAAGGAGAGAGACGAACTCATAGCCCAACTTCGCGAGGAGTTGGTAAGTGAGAGAACTATTATTATTTATTTTTTTTTTAAGTTCATTTGTCTGATAATGTTATTCAAGACCAGAAACTAAAGAAATACAATTTCACACCAGCTGCAAAATAACTAGCTTAAGGCTATGTTAACTATTCAGATTAACACTATGAGAGCACTGACTGAATGGTTTTAGGGACTTGACAGCCTCTGAATTGGCTACTATGTAGATGCACTGCTAGTAGAAGTTTCTTTTAAAAGATTATATTGACAGTTGTCTTACAGTATCATCGTATTAAAGTTGTCTTACAGTATTAGTGGCAGAGAAGTAGCACAGTACTGTATGCATATGCCAGAAATCTTGAAGGGTCTAACACATTTCCTGGTAAACTATGAATACTAATGGAATAATGAGCTGTTTCATGTCTACAAGACTGTCCAGTAGATTTTTTTTTTTTCCTGCTTAAGTAGATGTATTTTTAATTTAAATAAAATAATGAATATTCTTAGGCTTGCTGATCTTATACGAACTACCAAGTCTTGAGTACTAACACTTTAAGATGAGGCAGAATACTCTCAAGTGGCTGAGTTAGGTAAAACAGAAGCTGCCCCTATGGCCCTCTGCTACCAAAACCTTGCCACGTAAACCCACTACACAACGTCAGGCTCAAACAAGAGGTCAGAAATTCTAGCCCTGTGACTGTGGCAAAGTTGCACTGCATCTTTTAAATACTACCAAAAAGTAATATGTTTTTACATCAGCACAAACAACTAAGTTTAGCATTGAGTAATATAATGCTGCTAAAGAATGAAAGATTCCTTTGTTATAGTAACATCTGCAAAATAAATACAGGTCATCAATATTCTTTGTTTCATATTTGGCTACATTAAAAAATGATGTATTATGCAATTATTATCTAAAATTAAATGACAAAATGAGACATTGGAAACATCAAGCTTCTGCACAGTCTTGGAGCATTAATTTTATATCAGCCTAGCTCAAAACGTATGCTATTAACTGGTCAACAACTTTGTCAGTGTTAAATTATCCCATGTTGATACAGTGAGCTGTAGTTACCTGTTGCTGTATCTGTTGTCAAAGTTCACCTGTGTATATTGCCAGTTGTGGAAAAAAGGTCCATAGGGACTTCAGTTTTTCTGAAGGCATAAGAGGCAGAAAAGTTTGTCTTCCTAGGGTCATGAAATAAGGATTTCCTTGAGTAAAAGTGATTATGATGTATTTAATCTATGTTTAACAGACTTCAGTTTTGACACTTTAGGGTTTAAAAAAGAAAACAAAAAAAATGGAGAGTACAAGTGAGAGTCTTGAGACCACATTTAGTGATTTAAAATGTAGTTTTGAAAGGATTCAACATATCTCATTTACTGCTATTAAATAAAGCATGATTGGGTGATAAAGCTACATTTAAGGTTTATGCCCTACTTTAAAATAAAATAAAACAGTGTAGGTCCAGAGAATTGGAGGGAGAAAGGGATTTTTGTGTGTCAGATGCATAATCATGGAGTCAGCATCTTGGCTTTGGCTGTCTGTGTATTTTTTATTTATTTTCAATTTCTCCTGCAATCCTATATATCTGCAAAAGGTTGGGGGTTTTGTTTGTTAAGGCGTGTGGCTTTTTTTGTCTCCTCTTACCAGTTGTAAGAGCTGCCAGAATTTTCTAGAGCAGCTAGAATTTAAATGACAGACTAGTATAAAAGCTCACTAAAAACACACTTAGAACTTGTGCCAAAACTGAACATTTTTGTCAGTCTTCTGGATCAAAGTGACTACTGCTTTGTCAGCATCTGTGGAATCACTACACTTACTTGTTGAAGGACTTCAGCAATCAAACAGGGGAGGCACCCAGTCGGCTTAGGCTTCTTTAATGTTAAGCAGTTCTGGAGCAGCTCTTTCCAACATAGTTTTGACCTTAAGCATCCAAAAAGTCTCACTGTACTTATAGTTGTCCCCAAGCGTGTCCCTGATCATAGAATCATAAAGGTTGGAAAAGACCTTCAAGATCATCTGGTCCAACCATCACGCTACTACCTGCTAAACCATTTCCTAAGCAAGCCTGTATGAGGCTAAGAATGCATCTTGAAGTCCTCTGAAAAGCAGCTTCGGGGCTTTTTGTGGGGCTGGGTAGGGTAAGCCCCAGCTGCTCATCCCAGATTCACCCTCCACCCTGTGGCACACCTGCAAGGCTCAATAACCCACTTTGGGCATCATATGGTTGTCACAATCCCCTTTTTGCATTTCTATGCTTTCCCAAGAGGAGCCTTCCATTCTGAATATGGAAATTTAAAAGTTGTAAAAACAGCAACCTGCTATAGTAAAGTCATAGTTCTTCAAATGCTTTGTTTTCTTTTAAGGATAATTTTGCACTGTAGTTCTTATTAACCAAAGGTGTCTTTCTGTCTATGATGAAATAAATATATGTAGGCAGAGCAGTGGAATTGCTTTCTCTGTTCTCGTATTATGTCCTTAAAAATACTTGCTTCAGGAGCTGGAGGAGAGTGGCCTCCAAGATGTCTGGCACCCAGAACTGCTCTAAAGCTCCTGGAAGATGGTGAACTTAAAATTTGGGTTCAGAGCTTTGGCTTTCTCTCAGTGCTGTACTCATTGGTGAAAATGACCTCTTATCCAGAAGATCAAAGAAATTGAGTTCATCATGCAGGTTCATGACAAGGAGTTATTTACTTGCACTTTCTTTTTTTTTTTCTTTTACCTAAAATATACAAACCAAATGGAGGTCTCTGTTTCCATTGGGCACAGGAAAATGTGTGAAACATCAGCTGTTTCCCATTCATCTCTACATTGAATATGCATCTCTCTATATATAGTTTTAAAAAAAATAAATCTTTCTTCCTGGTTTGGTTTGATAACTTAGAACTACTTCAAATAGAAAATATTTTCATGGTATAGGGACAAAAATAACTGAGTGCTGCCTATGGTAATATTTATTTTACCGTTGTCATTGGTACAGAAACATTAACACTGAAAAATGACTGCTAACATCATTATCCTTTCACCCTTAATGTCCTTGTGTAACTTGAGTCATGCATGTTGTCCCATTGAAATAAAAAATGTAGTGGGGCAGTTTGTGTGAATTCTGAGTAGAGCAAGAGGCAAAGTCAAGTCAGGTAATGAATCTTTTTTATAGCTCAGCAGTTGGAGGTAGTTTTCTGCTGTGGAGTTGCCTCTTTATCAAATGTTTGGTCTTTTTTTTGGCTCCTTATCAAATGTAAAAAGGAGTTTTTTACTTTTATGGACTAGCTAGGCACAGTGATAGCTAATTGAGCTTTACCTTAAACTGTAGAGATTAATGCTTTAGTTCCATGTACTGTAGAATCACCAAAAAATAACCTGTATTTTTTTCTTTTATCTTTGCAAATTGTAAAGGAGTTCAATCTTCATGTCTAAAATCTATGTTAAGCCATGTGTGTGTTTTTTTGAATCATAGAATCATAGATGTTGTTTGTTTTGTTCTATGTCTTTGTGTTTGTGTTTTTTTTTGTTTGTTTTTGTTGATTTGTTTTGCTTTTCCTAAATATAACTTGTATAATCCTGAAGTGCAGAATGATGGCAAACTTAGTTCTTTTCTGCGGTCTGATTTCAATAATGGGCAATTAGCCAGTTGCTGTGGTTTTGAAGGATCCTAAATATGACTTATCCAAGTTTGAAGTGTTACAGAAAGCCTGAGATGCACTTGAATACTCTTGACAAATGGTTTTTGAAGGACACTGTGTTTAAGTGTAAAAATCACTTCAAAATATAGTTCTGCCAATATAGATGCATTGGAATGTGCAGTACTGGAATCACAACTTGTTTTGACAGGCTGAAAATGAGATTTGGCAAAATTAATGGAAATCAATTTTCAAAAAAAAAAAAGAACTCATGGTGAATACAATTTTTGGAATTGTTGGCAAAATGGAGAAATTTTGATTAGTCCAATCTATTTTATAAACATAAAAATATATTCCTCAAATTTTAAAGAAGCGAGATAACCTTATTTGAAAAGAATAATTGTCCTTACGTATTAAAAAAAAGTGACATTCTAGGTTCATCTTTGTACTGGTTACCCACTCACTTTACGTTCTACTGGTTTGTAGTATTATTTCATGTTGGCTGTTTTCTGATGGGATATTACACACCCATGGGTGATTTACATAAGAACAGACAGTTGTTAAGTACTTTAAAATCTTCTTTCTTCCTCATATTTAGGAAATACTAGGAGCAGAACAGGAAGAGATTAGATGTATTTAAACGTTATTGAAGTGTTCAGGCTTCTTTCCCCCTTTTTACAAGAGAATTAATTGTGTATATTCCGGAAAAGACCTATCTCTGCTGTAATTACTCTCTGAATCAGTTGTACGAGGCAGACTCCGAGTGTGAAAGTGGCAATATCCTATGACACACAATGGGGATTAGCCTCCAATTCCTTGTCTGTGGCAGTCCCTTCGATGAGAAGCTTCCAGTAAGATATGATCTTTAATATTCCTTGGCACTTGAGAAGGCAATTCTGCATGTTAGTTTAAATCCTTATCACTAACAATTGTCATATTGTGGTGTTTGGCATAAATAAATGATTATGTCGTTTGTGTAGAGTAGTGTCTTCCAGATATTGCTGAAATGTTGTCATAAAAAGGATGTTGTAGAAATGAGCAAATCTGAAATACAAAAAGTTGTCCTAAGTCTCCCTTGAGACACAAAGCTTTTTGTTCCTTTAATGCACCACATATGCTTATCTTTGACACAGCATCACTTGTAGACTGCCAGCTTTGAAACATGCAGCATAAACATGCAGCATTTTACTGATGGGCCTTTTAGTAAAAGCAGGCAAATATGACCTGACTTTACTCTGAGATCTCTGAGATCTTCAGTTTTGGGTTTGTATAGGACAGAAAGTAGGTCTCTGTTTCACTTCCTTTTTTCACCTTTTTTTTTTTTTTTTTTCTCTTTTTACCAATTTACATGAACCAGCTATCAAGAAAATACCAAGATATATAGCAATACATAGC